TTTTTATAGGGAAGCGAGTCAAAACTCATCTTTCTTGAAAAATAGAAGAAAATTCGTTAGGAGTTAGAAAAGGCCTACTATGAAAAAAGAAAGAGGGCTGGAATCGACACATTGATTCTTTTTTTCGCAATTTTTTGAGCCGTATGCATCCAAAGGTGCATGTACGGTTCCTAAAGGATACAATTTTGTCCTAATCAACCGACTTCATCGAGAAAGATTACTTTTTTTAGGCCAAGAGGTTGATAGCGAGATCTCGAATCAACTTATTGGTCTCATGGTATATCTCAGTATAGAGGATGATACCAAAGATCTGTATTTGTTTATAAACTCTCCCGGCGGATGGGTAATACCCGGAATCGCTATTTATGATACTATGCAATTTGTGCCACCAGATGTACATACAATATGCATGGGATTAGCCGCTTCAATGGGATCTTTTATCCTGGCCGGAGGAGAAATTACCAAACGTCTAGCATTCCCTCACGCTTGGCGCCAATGCGTTTTTTATTTGAGAGAAAAAAAAAGAAGACTATGCCTTCGCCGTATGGAATATGAAAAAAAAAAGAAAGAAAAAAATAAGTAATAATAGCATGGCACTTCGAGTTCGATATAAGCAAACTTTTCTTGTTTTTCATAACATGAGATTATATATCGAGAGAGTAGTATGAGACAAAGATTATTTCCGATTTGATCTTATCTATCGGGGGTCCATTTGAGCGTCACAAACTTTTTTGTTTTCACATCAAAAGTATTTTTCCAATATTTATGTTAGGTTATGAAAGAGTACGAAAAAAAAAAAAACAAGATATTTTTTTCCTTATTTAATCGGATCAGAAAGAAACTTTGGGATTGCTGAATTACAAACGAAATAAAAATAAATATATAAAGCAACGGAACCATCATAGTATTTTTTAACTCCTCCAAAAGGAAGGGTGGTAAATGGAATGGATCATCTAACGATCTGGGTCTGATAGATCCTATTTATCGCTTTCTTCGATGGAAAGGAAAAGCCAATTCCATTGTAGAGCCGTATGCAATGCGCAAAAGATGCCTGTACGGTTGTTCAATCTTCTTGTTATTCTTTATCTCTTCCCTTCGCTCCATCATGCGAGATAGAGGAACCATTCATTATGTTATATTATCAGGGTAATGATCCACCAACCTGCTAGTTCTTTTTATGAGGCACAAACAGGAGAATTTATCTTGGAAGCGGAAGAGCTACTGAAACTCCGCGAAACCCTCACAAGGGTTTATGTACAAAGAACGGGCAACCCCTTATGGGTTGTATCCGAAGACATGGAAAGGGATGTTTTTATGTCAGCAACAGAAGCCCAAGCTCATGGAATTGTTGATCTTGTAGCGGTCGAAAATAACGGGGATTTCTCGTAAATCCGTGATTCCATTTCGAACCCTAATATAATTCGAATAAACCATGATTTGATATTTTATCTTCTTACCGAGGTAAAATATTAAATGAAAGTAATTCATAATTTTCCGGTTAGGATCGATCTAAACCAGCCCATTCTGTATACGATTCAGCATGCCAACTATTAAACAACTTATTAGAAACACAAGACAGCCAATCAGAAATGTCACGAAATCCCCCGCCCTTCGGGGATGTCCTCAGCGCCGAGGAACATGTACTAGGGTGTATGTGCGACTCGTTCAGATTATGAGCTAGAACAAAAGAAAGGAGACAATTTTTCCAGTATCAATGACCAGTACCACTGAAGAGGATAGAATGGAAGAACCCCATTCACTATCTAAAAGTCAAAAGATCTATCATATACCTCTATCTATTGTGTATTAAATTTATGGTTTTCATTGGTGCAAATCCAATCACCTCAATTTGAGATGAGAAGCAATTCCCCATTGGTAGCAAATGGTTATCCATTACGCGGGGAAATAGTATTTAAAAAGCAGAAAGATTCTGCTCCCACTCTTGCAAGAACGGACTAATAGGGTCAGCTACCTAGCCAACCTTCATAATTAAATGCCGTTACTGTATGGGTAGATCTCATTGTGAAAAGACCTATTACTGGATAATTCATAGTAGAGCCAAAGAGTGTGAACTGTACAAGTTACCAATAACATTGATTAAATGAGGGAAGGGGCTCCGGCGTATAGAGAGGACCTCACCGTTTAAGAAGTAACCATAGAAACGATGAAACCCACTATTTATTATTTTTTTATTTAGTATTTTTTTTTCTAGTATCAATAAAATTTCTTATTTCGAGGGGAAATGCCCGGAAAAAAATAAAAAATCGTGGTTGGGAAGGTCATAGTAGCAAAAGCCATTGGAATTTTTATTTTATACATCGGAAGAATCCGTTTTGTTATTAATAGACCAGGAGAGGGGAAAAGAATGACTGAAAGAAAAGAAATCAATTAGTTATTCATCGAAGTTTCATTTTATTCAATGACCAGAATTAAACGAGGATATATAGCTCGGAGACGTAGAACAAAAATTCGTTTATTTGCATCAACCTTTCGAGGGGCT